TTCAACTATCCCCATACTGACTGGGAACATGTCACTTCAGAAAGGGATGCAGACATAAAATTTCTAGACACATTAAATGACTGCTTTTTGGGGCAGCTTGTCCTGGAACACAAAAGGGGAGAGGCAAGTTTTAATTTAGTCCTAAATGGAGCACACAATCTGGTCCAAGAAGTGACTATAGCTGAATCACTCAATAAAAGTGACCATAATGTAATTAAATTTAACATCCTTGTGGGGGGAAAATGCCAAAGAAACTCACCATAGTACCCTAGAACTTCACAAAGTGAAACTACACAGAAATGTGGAAGCCAGTTAAACAGATATTAAAAAGAACAGTCAGAAGGGTGAAATGCCTGCAAACTGCATGGAGACTATTTAAAAACACCATAATAGAGATCACACTAAATGTATACCCAATTAAAAAAAACTCCAAGAGGACCAAAAAATGCCACCATAGCTAAACACCAAAGTAAAAGAGGTGTTTAGAAGCAGAGAGTCATCCCTTAAAAATTTAAAGTCAAATCCTAGTGAGTAAAATAGAAGGGAGGATAAACTCTGACAAGTCAAGTGTGAAAGCATAAGTAGGAAGGCCAGACAAGAATGAGTGTCCTTAGGTAGTTGTTCTTCAAACAGCAAAATTTATTTAAGCATATCAGAAGCAGGAAGCCTGCCAAACAGCCAGTAGGGCCACTGGACCATGGAAGTACTAAAAGAGCACTGAAGGAAGACAGTGCTGTTGCGGAGAAGCTAAATTAATGCTTTGCACCTGTCTTCACTGCAGAGGATATGGGGAAGAATTCCATACCCAAGCCATTCTTTTTAGGTGACAAATTTGAGGAACTGTCCCAGATTGAGGTGTCAACAGAGGATGTTTTGGAACAAACTGAAAAATTAAACAGTAATAAGTCACCAGGACCAGACAGTATTCACCCAAGAGTTTGGAAGGAACTCAGATATGAAATTGCAGAACTATTAACTCTGGTATGTAATCTATCACTTAAATCAGTCTCTGTACCAGATGACTGGATAGCTAATATAATGCAGACATTTTAAAAAAGGTCCAGAGGCGATTGTGGCAATTACAGGCCAGTAAACATAACTTCTGTTCCAGGCAAACTGGTTGAAATTATAGTAAAGAACAGAATTATCAGACACACAAATAAACATGACATTGGTGAAAAGCAAACGTGGCTTTTGTACAAGGAAATCATGCCTCACCAATTTATTAGAATTCTTTGAGGAGGTGGACAAAGGTGCTCTAGTGCACTTGGACTTTCAGAAAGCCTTTGACAAGGTCCCCCACCAAAGGCTCTTAAAAAAAGTAAGCAGTCATGGGATAAGAGGGAAGGTTCTCTCATGGACAAGTAACTGGTTAAAAGACAGGAAACAAAGAATAGGAGTAAATGGTCAGTTTTCAGAATGTAGAGCGGTAATTAGCAGGATCCCCATGGATCTGTACTGGAACCTATGCTGTTCAATACAGGTCTGGAAAAAGGGGTAAAAGTGAGGCTGCAGAAGTTTGCAGACAATATAAAATTACTCAAGATAGTTAAGGCCGAGGCAGGCTGCAAAGAGTTACAAAGGGATCTCTCAAAACTGGGTGAAAAAAAGGAAGATAAAATTCTATGTTGATAAGTGCAAAATAACACACATTGGAAAAAAAAATCCCAGCTGTACATACAAAGTGATGGAGTCTAAATTAGCTGTTACCAATCAAGAAAGATCTTGGGGTCATCATGGATAGTTCTCTGAACACATCTGCTCAGTGTGCAGCAGCAGTCAAAAAGCTAATAGAACATTGGGAACCATTAGGAAAGGGCTAGACAATAAGACAGAAAATATCATAATGCCATTATATAAACCCACACCTTGAATACTGCGTGCAGTTCTGGTCACCCCACAAAAAAGATACATTAGAAATGGAAAAAATACAAAAAAAAGGACAACAAAGGCGATTAGGGGTATGGACCCGTTTCCATATGAGAGATCAAAAAGACTGGGACTGTTCACCTTAGAAAAGGCGACTAAGGGGGAAAGATATGAGAGAGGTCTCTAAAATTATGAATGTGTGGAGAAAGTGAATACAGAAGTCTTCTTTAACTCCTTCAAATAACACACAAACCAGGGGTCACCAAATGAAATTAACAGGCAGCAGGTTTTAAACAAATGTAAGGAAGTACTTCTTCACACAGTGCAGTCCAGCTGTGGAACTCGTTGCCAGAGGATGTTGTGAAGGCCAAAAGTATAGCCCCATTCAAAAAAGAATTAGATGAGTTCATGGAAGATAGGTCCATTGATGGCTATTAGTCAAGATGGCCAGGGACGCAATCCCATACTCCAGGTATCCCTAAACCTCCAGCTGACAGAAGCTGGGACTGGACGACAGTGGATGGATCATTTGATAAATTGCCCTCTTCTGTTCATTCTCTGAAGCATCTGGCAGTGGCCACTATCGGAAGATAGAACATCGGGCTAAATGGACCATTGGTCTGACCACTATGGCCTTTCCTATGTTCTTATGACTGTTCTAGTCTTTTGCCCTCCTGTACAGGAGCCTGAAGCGCTTGATGCCCTCCTGGAATGGGCTGGAGTCAGCTCAATGTCCACCTGATCCAGCTTCTGTGAAATTTCCTGAAGTACATGTTCCTTCTGCTTTGGCACAGTTGTGGAGGACGTTGTACTCCAATCACATGTGTGGACACTAGAGCCTAGTCTACACAGATTTTGTACCAGTATAACTATTTCAATTAGGGAGTGCTGTATTTAGTAATCATAATAACTGTACTGGTACAACCCCTATTGTACAGGAATTTTACAACTTTTATACCAGTATAGAGCACCTTTATACTGATGTAATTGTTTCCACAATAGGATGGTTATAATGTTTTGACCAGACTAATATAGTTGAGTGTATATTTCGTTTTAGTCAAGTCGTACATCAATTTAAAGTAACATGCACAGATGAAATTTCACTGCCTTACCTAAATTGGTGCAATATCGTATATTTAGTTATACTGGTGCAACTTTCAGTTTAGACCAGGCACTAGTTTCACAAGATTTTTACTTCCTTGGTATTTGCACTGTCATAATCTTAACAGTTTTTCAATTTGTCAGCATTCCAAGGTAGACAAAACCTGAATTTCTAATGTAAAAAACAAAAATAAGACTTCCAAAAAGAAGTTTCAGCCTTCTTTATACTCCAAATGTGTCATTTATTGCTTAATACTTATTTCCCTTTTTAGCTCAACCTTAAATAAGTCACATGAGAAATTCTTAAAACAAAATGGCGTTGCATATTTTGATGTTCTTAGAGCCTCTTACCACATTGTGAAAAGCTCAAAATGACTCTTGAATTTGCATCTTCCACATGACAGTCTGATTTCTGTGTTGAGTCACTGATCAGGCCAAGTTAAAGACACTTAATTGTATATTGTTAAGTAAGGCTGTCAATCCATGCCTTTGGTTCTTTTGACCCTGTCAATGATGTAATCCCACATGACTGTTGACCTTTCCTTTTTTTTTCTCCTATCATCCATTGTCTGCTTCCCAAGATAAGTCACGCTCTATTTTGGTTGGACTGAAACAAATACTGGTTTACATTTTTCAGAATTTATGCTTGTAAATGGGTATTTTTCTGTCAATATTTTTTGTGTGCAACCCCAAAATAAATTAGGCAGAACTAGAGGATTTTCAGCCTTTCCTCCTCACACTTGCAAGAATGGAATATACATCATGCTTCTAAAATGGTATAAAAGCAAATCTGAAAACAGTATCTCTATAAGAACAAGCTTTATATTCACCACTGGCTTGCCTCCTAGTTAAATACAAATTTTGCTTTATCGTTATTTACTAACGGGAAGCTGAGACCCAGCTTCACTTTTTTCTTTTTAGAAATATTTAGCTACCATATTAGAAACCCTGATCTGGAAACTTCCATAACTTTATCCTTGAGCCATCAGGAATGGAACCATAGCAAAAGAGCCCATATTGGACAGTTTAAGCCTCCACTTCAGCACAGCTATCCTCTACTAACTATGAGAGAGAGCTGAAAACACAAGCTTTTTAACAAGATAGGTTATAAAAACTATACAAGTAGAAGCCAAAAATAAAGGGCTTTGAAAAAAATTCAGCAAACAGTATCTTGTGTTGACCCAGGGGAAGTATTTTTCACTCACCTCTATAATTTAAGGGACAATTATTGTCCCCAGTACACAGCCTGATTAAGGGGTTCTCCAAAGGAATGAGAAGAGAGAAAAGAATCTTCTCCCAAACCACACAGACAATCCCTTTGGCTACTGTTGCAGTAGCACTTATGGCAGGTGCACCATCCCCCATTCAACTCAGCGCACCATCCCCCATTCAACTCAGCACACAATATAGCACACCTTCTGCACAGTTCCCCAAAGTCATGCTCCGTCTTTCCCCACAACTGAATTACACCAGCTCCACTTATCCAGGGTCATCCAAGGAAAGGGAGGATTTGTGCGTAAATCCATAAATCTACTCTGCTTTGTGTTCTGTAGTGATCAACACAATAGATTAGAAATATAATGCAAATAACATAGTTTGAAGAATTAATGTAAAAAGTATCATCATACATTACCCTATGGATTAATCTTTATATTAATGAGCTATGAGCTCAATGAACTGTCTGAGAAAACACTTGATTAAAATACTACAAAACTTAACTTCTTAGATCATACTGTATGGTAAATATTCTTAAGTGAATTATATAATCAGCTAATATTTTACCTAAGATTTCAAGAACTGCAGATAAATACTGCACATGCCTTAATTTTTAAAATTTCACTTATCTTTTATGAATAATTCCATCGCTGTTTTTAATTTCTAAAATAAAGTAAAATCTGTTTTAAACTACAGTGTCCTCAATTGCCAAGATATAATCGTTACTCTTTAAACTTACGTGTATAGTATATGCCCAAATAAGTACATATGTAGTAATCAAGCTGCTTATGGAAGTGTAAAGTGTTATGACTTACGATTACATCTTTTCTGCACAAATCTCAGCTTGCAGGCAGTCCGATATGTTGAAAGTCTGATAACATCAAAATTCTGAGCCCCTATAAATCAAAATGAAAAAACCCTATTTACTTTTCAACCTTTTTTCTTTAACATTCAGTTCACATGGTAAAATATTTCCCTCTAGTACATGATTGCCTGGCACTAGTTAATCAAATCTAAACCTTTGCCATTTTTCAACTGTGAACTCCTCAAGGTATAAAAATTTAGTACGTGCGATGCTTAAGAAATGTAAGAAAAAACACATTATAAACTGATGCAAATTTGGGATAGCTGTATTATTTCCAACTGGCAAATTCATATGTATATTATGAAAGTAAGCCTAAGTGACTAATAGTAGAGACTTTCTACTGTCACAAACACTTACTTGTTCATGCCACTTTTGAAAGTTTTGAGATTAAAGTAATTTGACTTTACAATACGAGGCAATAGATATATATTTTTTAAATTAATTAGTTTGTTTTGTCTCTGAAGCTGGCACAATTGGAAAAAATGGTTACTTGGTACCTGTATAGCAACTGTTCTTTCAGATGGATTGTCCATATACACATTCCACTGTCGGTGTATGTGCACCCAGTACACTTGAGTCAGCACGGGTGCAATGATGAGGAGAAGGACAGGGGACAAAGTCTCCCCCTGCACATTGGCCCCTGACCGCAGGTAGGTGTCATAACAGCAGAGCCCCTTCCCCACTGGCATAATGGAGAGGTGGCCAGGCCAACTCAAAGTGGCATTGCAACCCTGTGTGCCTTATCACCCATTCTCGCATTTGCAGTCCTTCTGACTCCCATGGGCACCAGGCACCCCAACCCCCAGTCTCCAGGAGGGTGGGAGAATTGGATCCAGGATTTTGGTGCCTACTGGGGAAGTGGAGACAGGAGGATGGAGTCTGGATCTCCCAGAACTGCCTGGCTCCTGGTGGAGCTCTCCATCCTGACCACCTTTCTGGATAAAAGCCATGGGCTGGCTATGGGATGGGGAGATTGCAGGGATGGGTGCAGGAGGACAGCTTGGAGCTGGGTGTGGGGCAATGTTGGGGAAAAGAATACAGGGCTGGATGTGCAGAGGGAGAGTGTGGGTCTGGTGCAAAGGCAGCATGAGATAGCTCAGGACTGGGCATAGGGGACAACCGTCAGAGAGCTCAAGGCTGGGTGTGCGGATAGAGGGGGTTGGGAAGGGAACAGAGTATGCAGCACTAGGAGCAGGGCAACAGAGAGAGAACTCTGGGACCCCTCCTTCAGAAAATTCTGGTTCTGCCAGAAATTTTTGGTAGCAGCACTGTTGGAGCAGTGCACATGCCCTGCGCCTGTCATGTTTGTAATGGAGAGCTTAAAGGGTGGGACTACCTCAGCCCCTTCATACCAGAAGCTTGGTCACAACTCAAGCAGTGGAGTACGAGGGAGGCTGTGGAATATATATGTGCACAACACATTTTCAAGAACAGTTACTGTACAGATATGCACAATCAAGTTGCAGTGGGGGAGGTTTAGGTTGGATATTAGGAAAAACTTCTTCACTAGGAAGGTGGTGAAGCACTGGAATGCGTTACCTAGGGAGGTGGTGGAATCTCCTTCCTTAGAAGTTTTTAAGGTCAGGCTTGACAAAGCCCTGGCTGGGATGATTTAATTGGGGATTGGTCGTGCTTTGAGCAGGGGGTTGGACTAGATGACCTCCTGAGGTCCCTTCCAACCCTGATATTCTATGATTCTATGAATCATTTGAAGGAGGAAAAAAAGTGTTATATACTAGCAGTTCTTATTTCAGGTGGTGGAGTCTACTGGAACAAAGACTATAAAACTGATTCACCGAAGTCTACAACCAACCTGGGATACCTGAGTAACAGTGCAGTGTCTCAAAAAGGTATGTACTGATGACCATGTAAGCAGCTTTGCAAACATCCAGGATGGGCACTTTACTGAGAAAGTAGCGTAAGTAGCTTGAAACCTGGTAGAATGGGCATTTTACTATCATGGGAGTTGTTAGATAAATCGTAACAGGTCCTTATACAAAATGAAATCCACTGAGATTCGTTGAGCAGAGCTGCCTTCCCTTTCATTCTTTTGCATAAGTCATGCTCCAAATTGTCTCATACTACTGATATAAAAGGACAGAGCTCTACAAACATCCAGAGAATAAAGCCTCTCCTCATCACTGTGTGAATGTTGTTTCAGGAGGAAAAATTGGCAAGCTGATAGATTGGTTTTAGTGAAAATCCAAAATGATTTTCAACACACTTTGAATGCAGCCTCAAAGAGACTTGTGGAGAATCATGTCAGGTGGATCCGCCATAAGAGCCTGCAACTCAAACTCTCCAGGCAGATATTATCACCATCAAAGAATCACTATTTTCGCCAATAGGTGGAAGAGAGAACAGGAAGCCATTGGCTCAAAAGGGGGGCCGATAAGCCACAAGAGGAGAACGTTGAGATCCAATGCGGAACTAGATCCCAAATAAGTGGATAAACTCTGATAAGCTCTTTGAGAAACATGACTACCATGGAATGTGAAAAAACCAAGGTATCCTGTATCAGTGGGTGGATAACTGATATGGAGGCTAATGGAACTCAAAAACTCAGGACTCTTAGTCCATCCTATTTGAAAACATCATAAACTTAAGCCTGAGTAGAAGAGAGCTGATAGGTCACAGCCCAGGCACAGAAACTTTTTGATTTAGTGAGGTAGGTCGATCTCATAGATTTTTGTCTTCTGCTGATCAGGATATTCTGGACTTGCTGATAGCACAATCTTTCCAAGCAGTTTAACCAATGACAATCCACAGCAGGAGGTGTAGTGTGTGGGTCGCAATGCAGAACTCTGCTCCGATCTTGAGACTGCAGATCCTTGATCAAAAGAAGCATTCCTGGGGGTTGAATGGAGGGTCCCTGGAGATCAGTGTCCCAGAAGCCCCAGTTTGGCTGAGGCAACATCAGGATAATTGTGTTATGGTCTTGCTTCAGTTCCTGTAAAACTTTGGAAATTAATGAAACTGGAGGAAAAACATATGGAAATACCTCTGTCCAGGAGAAATGCATCTGTAAGCAAACCTGGACTTAGACTCAACAGAACCGCATGCATTTCTTGTTTAGGCTCATCATGAAAAGGCCCATGGAGGGTGAATCCCCACCCATGAAACATATCATTTGCCTTTTTGAGAGGCTACTTGTGACAGTGAGTTAAGTTTCTGCTCAGGCAATCTGCTAGAGTGTTCCTCACACCTGGTAGGTGAGACATCCTCGATGTGATGATGTTGCAGATGCAGAAATTCCAGATCAATTACTGTCACACTGAACTGATCTGGCTCCACCCCGCTTGTTCAGGTAAAACAGCAATTGTGTTATCTGTTAATACCTGCAATGTGAAACCTTTGATAGAAAGAAGGAATGTCTTGCATGCCCAAAGTATGGCTCAACTCCAAAATGTTTATGCAGAGGGAAGCTTCTTGTGGCTTCCAGAGAGCCTCAGTTTGTATCTCACCTGCATGAACATCACACCCCTTAATCAAGGAATCCATTATGAAGGTCATCGTTGGTGCTGGAGCAGAAAAGAAGATTGGAGAGCTTATCCAGGTTCATCCACCAATCAAGGGAGAAGAGCACTCATGCAGGTACATCGATCAATATGCCCAGCTGATGCCTGATTAGTAGCAGCAACTGAGGTAAAGTCTTCCATGTTGAGTCATGTAAATCACAGTGCCATACATCCCAAAAGATGTAGGTAGAAGCAAACTGACAATATTGGCTCAGCTTTTATCATAAACTTATGAAGAAATCTAGTCAGAAAGTGGTCTCAAGGTAAGTATGCCATCGCTGTGGTGAAATCAAAGACAGCTCGCACAAATTCGATCCTTTGAACTAGTATCAATGTTAATTTTTCTGCATTTATTTTCACTCCCAACTGTACGAACAATGACTGGATTTGAAGAATATTGTTCTAAGCCTGATCTCTGCATTGACTGCGGATGAGCCAATGTTCCAGGTAAGGAAAAAGCTGGATCCCTGAATGTCTTTGGCAGTGGCGGCTACCGACCTAACATTTGGTAAATACCAATGGGGCAGAAGACAGGACAAAAGGGAGTAAGGGTCTACTGGTTGTAAATGACTCACATTACAAATCTCAGGTGTTTCCTGTAGCTCAGATGAATTGTCACATGGAAATAAGCATCCTACAAAGTGAAGGCAACGTACAATTCTTCAGGGAAGGAATGATAGAAAGCAGGGAGACAATCCTGAACTTTATCTTTTCGATGAAGGTATTCAACTTTCTCAAATCCAGGACAGACCTCAGATCACCTCTCTGCTTGGGAATGAGGAAGTATTAGGAGTAGAACTGCTTTCCCATGTTGTAGAGGGGGTGGGGCGGTACCTCTTCTATGGGAGGAAACAATACCACCTGAAGTAATGCAGTCTCATGAGAGGGATCCCTGAATATGGATCAGTAAGGTTGGTGGAGGTAAGGCAATGACTGGAATTCCAGAGCGTAATCTATCTCCACAGTACCCAGAATCAATTTGTTTCTCATTATGGAGTTCCACGTACTGAGGAAAAGGGATGGCAATCCCCAAAGGGAGGGGAAGGATCTAGGAAATCCCAAAGAAGCCACGTGCTGTCACAGTTCATGGCAATTGCACCTGTATTCCCCCTCTGTGGCCCACAAAGGGCACTCATACTCTAGGCTCCCAGCTTCTGAGCTATCACTTCTCTTGGGAAGGGACCCACATCTCTTCCTAGCCTGACCAAGATTTTTTCCAGCAGCCCAGTTCCCTGCCCATGCTGGGAACAGGCCAGCGTCCACACTTTTCTTTCTCTCCTTAAGCCATGGACAAGATAATTGCCAGCAGTTATGTTAGCACACAGCCTTTATAAGCAAGTACATTTATTCTTAAGGTGAAAGCATTACAGAGAAAACATTAAAAAAAATAACCTACACACATGCTCATAAGCTTTCCAGAGATCACTCCTGAACTGCAACAAGGGGTCTGGCAGTAGTCAGTTCTTCAAATCCCACCAAAAGGTCTTTCTGTGCTTACAAGGTCATATCACCT